GTTGTAATTTTTGTGAAGTTTTTTTTTTCAAATATATTGTTTTTTGGCATTAAAAAAAAGTTAATAAATCAATAAATATTACTACTACATAATCTAAACATCAAAATTTTGTAGTTAAAATGAAAGAATATAATTTAAAATTAAATAGTTTTTAATAAATTTTTGTGGATATTTAGTAGAAATTTCAAATTTATGAAACGTTTATGGATTCAAAAATACACTTCTGTTTTACCCTTTATAATAGAGAAGTGATCTAAATACCCAGAGAGAGAAAATAACGTGATTACCGTGCAACAAACTCTGTCATATCCAGGCACTAGAATCGTTTAAGTCAAGGCACTTCAAAAATCTGTAAGGATCTTTATTCAATTTCAACTCCAGTCTTCATCAGTTTTGTCAGTCAAATTGGTCGAATTTTTATAGAATTTTTATAAGACTCATAAATTTTTTATCCCAGCAGTTCGGTCGGACAGTCCCGAACAACCTATTTAACCTTAAGTTATCTTTAGCTACCAACTACCCAAGTTACAGTTTTTTTTTACCATGTGCTTGTTTTACGAGGAAGTCAATCGTCTTTCTATTACGATGATACAGACAGAAAGATAGTCCAAAGGGGTCAATACATGGCAATGACCACTCTCTAGATTACTTGGAGACTGTAAAGAGACAACAGTCTGTGCACAGAGAGAAAAGGAAATATACACGCCTGGTACCAAATTAACACCAAAGAGTTTATAATTTTTCAACAACATCCGTTGTCAACACTATGTAATGATGTGGTAAGATTTCGTTGTCGAAATCTAAATTTTATACACAACCGTTGTCTAAATGTTAACAAAAGTGTTAAGCTCACTATTGGCAACTGATTGTTTGTCAATAGTGAGCTTACCACGTTTGTTAACATTTAGACAACGGATGTGTATAAAATTTAGATTTCGACAACGAATTGTTGCAATGTTGTAAACATTACATAGTGTTATCGTACGTATACGTATACTATGACAACAGATGGTATTGAAAAATTATAAACAGTTTAGTGTCAATTTGATACCAGGCGTATATATTTCTTTTTCCCTCTGTGTGATCTCGCTTACAAAGGGAACGCTAAAGTGACGACTGGCTTCACTCTCGTTTACAAAAAGTACATTTGTGACAAAAGACGAATTATAGCCAAGCGGAGGGTTAGATTTTAATGAAAATTAGCGTTTTTTCGGATGTATTTTTGGGACTTTTGTGTTGAAGTAAACTTCTTTTATTGTACTTTTCAACGAGAAGCTTTTCCAAATAGAGCAGTACTTTATTTACTCTGCTTTCATTTGAAATTGATTCTATCATTTCCATAGACTTTATATAGTTTTTTATAATGCATGCGGTTAAGGCTTCTGTGCTCGAAAATTCGGAATATTTATATTGAAAATTTGAAATAACAACTTATCGAGACTTATTAAACTTCGGTTAGAATACTAAAAAAGTGATTAGTTTGGTAGAGCTTAAGGTTTCACCTTGAAGTCTTGAGTAGGGTTATGTAATAAGTTGAATTTCTAGAAAGATAATTATCTATAAAATCAAAAATAATTAGCATATAGAAATCAGATTTCTTCAGATCAAAGAAAAGGTCTATTCTTTGTTATTCAAGATGAGTTTGATAAACTGTATAATTTCAGATTGATACGGAATGAAACCAGTGCAAACTTGTATTCACTCTCTTTCAAACCTAAATGCTATTTTCAATTCATCTTATATACATGTATTATACATATTATACGGCCAATTCTACGGGTTCGATTCACACCAGAGACTCTGGCCGCACGATCCTCATACTGATAGACTACATACTACCAACTTGTCTACCAGACACCCAAATTACTTTATTCTCGTGACAGCCTTTAACATTGATCGAAATAAATAGTAGTCGTAGAGGGCTTGATTTGTACTATAAGGTGGGCGGCCCAAAACTTCTCAACCACAAATTTCAACCTAGTTTTTATCTAAGAACATTTGGACTAACGTTCATATGATGTAATATTAAGGCTTCCTGAATGATCATATATGTATCTTATTTCAAGTGAATCAATTGTATTCTGCAGAGGTCACCTGTAATATGTCCGATTTCTGCAGTACTCATCTGGACCTATCAAATATGTAGATTTACCATGAAGCCACAAATATTCGTCTAGTTGTTTGAGCATCACATACGATTTCTTGAGTTTCAGATTGACATAATGGTTCTTCTTTTAATCGCCAGTAATGATTAATGCAATAAATTGGGATTTCAGAAGGATTCCGAAAAATAATGCTTTGTTAACAAACAAAATCGACATTTCGAAAATAAACATGATAATTGTAAGCAAAGAAATGTAAAATTTCAATCAATAGATATTTATACCCTACACCACTATAGTGAGGAGTGCTGATGTTTCTAACACCCACTTTAAGGTGGGTGTAGAACCTGTAGAATCACTTTCTAAGTCGATCAAGCTATATCCGTCCGTCTGTCCGTCTGTGTGTCCATGTAAATCTTGTACGCACGCTACATATAGATCGCAATTTTCACGATAATTTGATGAAATTTGGCACATACGTTTCACGAAGGACGAAGTTTATTAAAAATGTTCGCAATCGGTCCTTTACGTACAACCATACTACCCGAATGGCGGGTAGTATTTTAATTGTTCTTGTATCTCTACAAAATTATCACTGTTGCATTTTCTTAACAATCATTTGACCCTAGCCCCCATACAAAGTCTCCTTTAGAAAATGACTTGAAGGTAAACTCTAGTATCAAGATGCAATTCTGTTTAAATAACTTTAATGTAAACGTGAATCCATCCACTAACATTTATGAGGATATGACCTATTAACCCTTGCCCTCGTGTAAACTCTCTTTCTGAACTTCACTTTTTTGTTAACAAATTGTAAAATTTTGCGGAATTAAGACTAAAAAGAAGTTAAATGCTTTATAATTAAAAATAATCATAATTTTTTTACATTCAACTCACTGGTGTAGGGTTAATATATGATCGGCAATGCCCAACTATACATTCTTACTTGTTTAACATACAAGCTTTTAAGGCGTAAAATTTGTAATTTCCCCAAATATAATATGTACTTCAAAGAAGATTTGAAAGAATTTTTCAAACAAAATTATATATTAGTCCGAATATCCACTTTAATAGAAAAGATTTTGAAAGAATAAATATCCACAAAAATTAATAAATATTTGACTTACAATAAAACTAAAATTGACACCAATTTCAAAAAAAAAAAAAAAGAAACAAAATTACGAAAAAATTTAAAATTAATATTTTAATTATGCAAAAAAAAAAAAAGAACAAAAATCAGCGTAAACTGTTATGATTTTCATTCTATAAAATTAAAGAAAAAAAATTGAAGAGAAAAATAACTAAATTATTGTCAAGAAGTTGATCTACGTTTTTTGGAAATGGCTACAGCTATGCAATTAATTTAATGTGTTTTTTTTAAGTATTATTATTTTGTTTAAATACTTTTTTAAAAATAAATGTTATATTTAATACTTTGCAAAAGAAATGACTAAGTTACTACAATTTAAATTAATAAAATAAACAAAAAAAGGAAAAAGAGTGACTAAAAGTAATTTATTAATAAAAACAATTAATGTTTTAATTAACAACAATAAATTGCTTTTAAAAAATTTATTAAAATAATGAAATAAAGACAAAAACGAAAAAACGCAGTGGAAAAACTTCTTGAAAATATTTGTAAAATACCAAAGAAATTTATTTTTATGAAAATAAAATTTCATTTGCAACACTTATTCGGCTCATAAAAATTGTTTTTTTTTTAATATACTATAAAAAAAATTTTGTTACCAAAAAAATCAAATCAAATTCTGGAATTTTGTTTTAAATTTAAGTTACAAAAGTGGCCGCTTTAAAGGGGTCTTGCATAAACAAAAAACCGAAACAGAAAATATTTACAAATTTGGAACATTTCAAAATTGGCAAAATAGCAAAAGAATAAATAAAATTATTAAAATTAGAGAAAACAATATTTAACACCTTTTTTCAAAATTATTTTTAGTAAAATGTAATAAAAAAACTAAACAAAAAAAATTAAACAAAATCAAACGCTCTTTTTTCATCATTTGTTTGTATTTTTGTTATGTTTTATTTAAACAACAAGAAAAAAAACAATATTTTAAAAACTAAACATAAAAACGTTTTAAAATACGCGATTTTTAACGTACCGTTTTAAAATTAAGTTGACAACACCACAAGTGCGTGACTGTTTAAAAAAAAATAACCGCAAATTTTCAAACACAAAAAAAAATAAACGTTTCTAACGGCGCCCAAACAAAAATCGAAATTCAACTTCTTGCAAAACATAGAAATAATTTAAAATATTAATTTTATAAACTGAAAAACAAACAACGTTTTGTATCTAAAAAAAAACATTTTGGAATTTAATAAAAATAAAATCAATATAATTTACAAAAAAAAAAAACTCGCATTACCAACCAACGTTCAGATATGAAAAAAAAAATTAAGAGAGAAATCAAAAATCGCTAAAAGCCCCTCTTGTTTTTGGCATTTAAATGAAAAATAAAAAATAAATAAATTGTTTTTTATTATTTTTAATTATTGAGTAAAATTCTATTCTATATTTTTGCAGTAATAATTTTATTGGTCTTTTGTGGACATAAAAATCGTAATATATTTTTTTGATTTTAAAGAAAAATATATTTTGTTTTCAACTTTCTACTTTTTTCTATATTTTTATGATTTTATTCTTCGCAATTTGTATTTTTTTTTTTTGTTTTAAGTAAAACTATAATTATAAAAAAAAAACAACAACAAAAATATAGAACTTATAATTTTTTCTCAGTTTTGTTTTCTATTTTTACTCTTTTTTAAAAAAAATTACTATTCTTTTAAATATAAAAATTGTAACGATTTTATTTTAAAAACAAACAAAAAGAAAATCGTTTTATAAACGACAAAGAAAACGAAGAAGAAAAAGCAAAAATTATTAAATTCTAATCTTGAAAATAAAAATCAAAAACAAAAAAGAAAAATTAAGAATGAAAAAATCCTAAAAATAAAATTTTAAGATGATGAAGATGAAAAGAAGTTGATGTTGGATTTTTGTTTGGTGTTGTTGCAGGAAACGTCCGATTCGCCTCACGGCTTAGGCGGTATTGCCAATGCGGGCGGTGGTAGTGGGTCTGGTGGTGGTGGTGGCGGCGGCCTTGCTGGCTCCTCCTCCGCCACAACTGGTAACACTGCCTCTAGCTATGTCCATGAACAACCACAAACGCCACCACCTTACACCTGCGTTTATTGTGGCGCGAGTTTTCCCAACCAAAATAAACTAACGCGCCATATACTATCGCACTCTCTTAAAACTCTGGAATATCGTGAAACCGCCACGCATGCTCTTCTACACCCGCACCTCTTGGCCCATGATCTTAACATGTCACCGCTGGCGTATCAAATGAATGCAGCGATGGCAAGTGCCAGCGGTGATGCCCAAGATCAGGCGGCAGCTGTGGCTGCAGCCGTTGCCATGGATATGGATTTCGCGGCAGCCATAGCGGCGGCTGGCGGTTGTCCCTTTCCCTCGCTGGCTAGCTGTACGGCACGTGGTCTAGATCTCGATGGTAGTGGTGGTCTTGGTGGCAGTGGAGGCGGCGGCGTTGGTGGTGGCTCTAGTTCATCTAGCCGAACAGGACGTGATGGCGTTGGTGGTGGAAATTCATCAGCCTCGGGTAATGGCGGTTGTCCCAGCAGCAGTTTGTCTTTATTAAGTGGCGCTGGTTCGTCAACATCGGCCGCTGCGGCGGCGGCAGCTGCTGCAGCAGCAGCCAGTTCGTCAGCATCGTCCAATGATCCGAATAGTGTTGTTTTGTGTAAGTTCTGTGGTAAAAGTTTTCCCGATGTAACCTCACTGATCACACATTTGCCGATACATACAGGTGATCGACCGTTCAAGTGTGAGTTTTGTGGTAAAGCGTTTAAATTGCGTCATCACATGAAAGATCATTGTCGTGTACATACAGGTAAGTAGATATTAATTTTATTTAATATTATTGTATTTTTTTTCTTGTGTGGTAAATGTATGATAAGGAAAAGAAACAAATATCGTATAGTTTTTGAATTGAAAATCACTTTCCGTTTTGATAAATTTGGAAGAATTATCTCACTAAACTCACTTTTAGAGGAAAATTCTTATATTAACCTTTCTCTAGAAAATATCTTCTCGGAACCTATTTGTAAAGGAAAATAACTTTCATTTGTATAGACAGGAGACATCTTTAGACCTAATTCTAGAAAAGTATCATATTTGGACTCACTTCTTTAGAAAATTTACTTCTCTGAATTCACTTTCAAAGATACACAATCAAGTCTACAGTTCTTTTCGTCAGTTGTTAATCTTTATACATTTCTATCGAATAGTTTCTCCTCACCATTTTTATGGACTTATCTATTGATAAGTCTATTAACTACTTTATGAATCAGTCGATAGGATGGTCGGTCTATGAACTATTCTATAGACAAGTCTATAAACTTGTCTGTGCACCAGTCTATTGAAAATTATATGAACTAGTTTTTTGACAAATCTTGAGGCCAGTCTGTGTAATATTCTAATGGCTAGTCTGTCGAATCTTCCGTGGTCTAGTTTATTGACTAGTCTAGGCTGTAGTTTAGTCTATGGAAAAGTCTATGAATTAGTTTTTGGACTAGTTTAATGGACTAGAGTTTTGTCTAGTCAAGTCGATAAACAAGTCTAAAGTCCATAAACAGGTGTATATATAAACTAGTCTGTTCTATGAACTAGTCTATTGACAAGTCTATAGACTATTCTATTGACTAGTCTTTGGACTACTCTATTGACTAGACTATGGATTACTAGTCTATGGACTAGTATAGAGCGGACTAGCCTATGAAATGTTTATTGACTAGTTAATGTACTGATCAATTGACTATGGACCGAACTAGCCTATGGAGTGGTATATGGACTATGGTATTGACTAGTTAATGAAGTTATCAATTAACTAGTTCATTTACAAGCTTCTAGAATAATCTATGGACTATTATTTTAAACTATTTGAAACTGGAGTAGTCTATTGACAAGTCTATAGACTATTCTATGGACTAGTTTATAAACTAGTCTACTGACAAGTCCCTAAATAAGTCTATGGTATGGACAACTGTTGATTAGTCTATGACTATTCTATGGACTAGTCTATTGACTATTCTATGGACATGTCTATAGACTAGTCTATTAGCTATTCTATTGAATAGTCTAGTCCACGGACTGTAACATGTAATGTTCAATAGTCGATAGATAAGTGTATGAACTTATCTGTGGGCTATTATTTGAACAAGTCTATTGAGAAGTCAATAAACTAATATAATGACAAGTCTATAGACTATTCTATTGTATAGTCTTTGGACTAATCTATTGACTAGACTATGGATTACTAGTCTATGGGCTAATCTTTTGGCTATAGAGCGGACTAGCCTATGAAGTGGTATGTGGACAATGCTGTTGTCTAGTTAATGTTCTTATCAATTGACTATGGACTGAATTAGCCTATGGAGTGGTATATGGACTATGTCATTGACTAGTTAATGAACTTATCAATTAACTAGTTTATTTACAAGAATATAATAGTCTATGGACTATTATTTTAAACTTTTTTAAACTGGACTAGTCTATTGACAAGTCTATAGACTAGTCTACTAACAAGTCCATAAATAAGTCTATGGTGTGGACAACTGTTGATTAGTCTATGACTATTCTATGGGCTAGTCTATTGACTATTCTATGGACAAGTCTATATACTAGTCTATTAGCTATTCTATTGACTAGTACAGTCCACGGACAGGAACATGTACTGTTCAATAGTCCTTAGATTAGTGTATGAACTTATCTATGGGATATTCTATGAACAAGTCTATTGAGACGTTTATAAACCAATATAATGACAAGTCTATAGAATATTCTATTGAATAGTATTTCTATTGATTAGATTACTACTCTATGGATTAGTGTATTGGCTATAGAGCGTACTAGCCTATGAAGTCGTATGTAGACTATGTTATTGGCTAGTTAATGTACTTATCAATTGACTATGGACCAGACAAACCTATAGAGTAGTATATGGACTATGCTAATGACTAGAGAATGAACAATTATGGAAGGAAGCGTATAGATTAGTCGTTGGACTATTATTTTAGACTGCGGACTAGATTATTTACTATTTTTATTGTTTCTTTTTCTTAAAATTACATTTTACCATATTTTACGCGAATAGTTATTATTAATTAATATTTTTTTATAAATACACATTTTTCAAGGTGAACGTCCATTTCGATGTCAAATGTGTGGTAAAACATTTTCACGATCGACAATATTGAAAGCCCACGAAAAAACACATTTTCCCAAATATGCAAGAAAGTTTTTATCACCCAGTCCGGTCGATACAAAGGATGAATTGCCGCAATAGTGAAACGATTTTAGTTTATTATTAAATTATTATTATTACTATTATTATTACTATAACAATAATAACAACAACAACAATAATAATAATAATAATTTTAACAACTACAACCTTAATAATAATAGTAATAGTAACAACAGCAACAATAACAACAACAACAACAATAGCAGCAGCAGTAACAACAACAGCAACCACTACAACAATATAAACGATAATAATCTACAGCAACATTATTATTGAAAAATAACAATTTATAAAACAAAAAACGATCCAAAAAAAGAAAAACAATAGAAATAATTTTGAACAAGAATTAGGAAACTACTATTAAATATATATATATCTACAAAAACCATACATATTTATAGAGATATATACCTTTAAAAAAAGTATATTAAAAGAAAGGAAATATGTGAAAGAATAATATATATAAAAATGTATATACAACCAAACACTTAACACACATACACACAATGCTATTTTAAAGAAAATGGTAAAAAAATATTTTAGATTATAGCTTCTTAAAGAAGTTATAACAAAGCAACCCAAATATTTATTGAAGAAAATAATTCGTAAAAAAAAGTAACTATTATTTCATAATAGATTTGAGATGAAAAATATAAAACCCCGATACTGTCTGTTTGTATAAAATACATACAAATAAAACATTTTATACATAATTACATTACATACAATATATATTTAAAATATACATATACATATGATATGAGACAAAAAACATACATACATAAAACTGGAAACTAAAAATCAATTACACTCATATTTTTTATCACCAAAATGCTGAAAATATTTAAAAAAATATATAAAAATTAACTGATTTCGTTTAAAGAAAATGGCCAACAATAATGCCCCTTATAACAAACAAAAAAATCTATAGACCAGATTTTTAAAATCTTAAAACAAGATAAAATTTCAAAACTTACGATACTTTTTTCGCGGGCAATATTGTGGCTTAAATGTTAAACAACTCTATATCACATTTTTTTATATATATAAAAACCCTCGATTTTTACCAATTTAAGTAAAAAATCCTTTAAAAAAAATAACACTTATAACCTAAAAAAAGTGTTTTTTACCAAAATGTAATTGAAAAAAACTGCAAAATATAAGAAACAAGAATTTAATTATAACAAACTGATAACAAATGAAAAAAAACTAGGTCTTTATACGAATTATTAATTAAACAAATAAATAAAAAGACTTACGGGAAATTTATACGTTTAAACTCAGCTTAAAACTGAAGTAATAAGGAAAAAAATATTAAATTATTTTTTTTTTTTTGTAATTTTTTTTTATAATTTTATAAATTATCAACGCGCATTGCTTTCAAATAGTAAACGATCTCATGTGATCCAATATTTATTTTTTTGTGTAAAAGTTTGTTTGTTTAATATTATTTTATAAAAGTATATAAAAAAAATAGAATCCTTACAAATCCAATTGGTTGTTAACTACCCCTATAAAGGGCTCCCACAAATACCTATTTTCATTTAAAATACTGACTTTCTTAATGTTAATCTATTTTAACTTTTAGTATTTTTTTTTTTTTTTAATTTCCTAAGACAATAGTTAAATTTTTTACCATAGACAAGTGTTTTTGTTTTTTGTTTATAAAAAAAAAAAAAACATTTAACAAAAATAATTACAACATTCATAGAATTGGTGCTATCCTACAGATTTTATATAGACAAAATAACAAACTACAAACTACATACTTACATAACAATATATTTATTATTATACTCAAATATTAAAAAAAAAATAACAAAAATACAATCAATAGACAGTTTTATTCTATGTATTTACAATATTCAATTGATTTGTTGGTAAATAAACTTGAATCAAGTGAATGACAGCAACAACAAACAATAACAAAATAAAACTATTTTTAACCTTATGACCTGCAAAATACCACACACACCTACTTACACACTGTATACACAAAAAAGGAAATAAAATAATTATCACAAAAATAATTGCATAATTTTCAGACAAACTATAATTTCTATTTTGATCATTTTTTTTCGGATTAACAACTATTTGGAGTCAATTTGATAATAGATAGGAAGAGATGATATTCTTGGACTTGTTAATATTATTTCAGAAAAGAAAATTTTGTTATATTTAATCAGAAAAGCAACAAGTACCTAAACATATTAGAGCAATTCACAGTTGCTATTTAGTCCCCTGATCGGCAAAGACCTCTCTAGCACTATTAATTTCACAGGCATGTATAAAAAAACGATAAAAACTAATAAGAGAACTTCTTTATCCTCCCTACCGATATATGATTTAGTCTTTTAATTTCCAGTGGATCATAGGGCGGCAACAAACGTTTTCCAGTTCAATTCACATTTGTTATTGAATATTTAGTCATCTGATCGAAAAAGAGCTTTCTTGCACTCTTAATTTCACATGCAGGTAAGCTTACACATGTGTAAAAAGCAGTAACAACCAGTAAGAGAACATATTATTTAGTCAGCTGATAGAAAAAGAGTTTTCTTCCACTCCTACATTCACTCTTAATTTCACACGCAGGTATGCTTACACATACATATGTATGTATGTGTATATAAAGCAATAAAAACCAGTAAGACAACTTATATTTTACATTCTGACGGTATATGATTTAGTCCTTTAATCGTCCTAGTTGGTGAACTTCAATAAACATTTTCCAGTTCAATTTATCACAACATATCGCCTTCTTCTGGCGACTCTGGAAACTCCAAACTACTACAACACATTCTTTATATGGCGTTTCCAAGTGTTTTCAGGTCTACTAGGGTTCTAAGAATATGTCTGAGGCATACGTTTGGCAGCCATTTAAAAACACGGCTTTTACATTTAACGTTTGCCCCAGACCCCAGAAATTGTGCTCTTTTGCGTTTAAAACTCTTAACCTCTAAATAAAATTGACCAGTATTGAACCAATGATCCAATTCTTTCTTAAACTTATTAGGAAGCTTATTTTCTTAAAAAATCTTCTCGACATAATTTACAATGTACCTTTAAAGTTTAAAATAGCGATACGCTCTCTTGCGTTTAAAAATAAAGTAAAAAATCTAAATTTTTTTTCAAAATCTCAACCTCTGAATTAAATTTGCCAGTAAAAGTCTATGTTTGGTTTCACCCAGCTTGACCCAATGATCCAATTCTTTCATAAACTTATTAGGAAACTTATTTTTTTAAAACAAATCTCAAATGAATTTCCAATGTGGATTAATAACTTTAACTGCAATGACTTTTGCATATGTAAAAGCTCCCTGCATAAATGTATTTACAGTTTAAAACAGAGTTACACAGAGAAGTACTCTCATGAAAGCTTTCTTGCTCTCTTGCGTTTAAAGATCAAGTCAACAGTAATAGTCTATGCTTGGTTTGACCCAATGATCCAATTCTTTCTCAAACCTATTAGGAAACTTCTTTTCTTAAAATTTTTTTCTGAAATCAATTTCCAATGTGGAAATTGATTTCATTAGTATATGTAAAAGCTTTCTGTATGATAAAGATAATGTATTTACAGTTAATATCAGAGATACGCAGAGAAGTGCTCTCATAAGAGCTTTCTTGCTCTCTTAAGTTTAAAAATAAAGTCAACAATCTCCATTTCTCTAAAAATCTTAACCTCTGAATCAAATTTGCCAGTAAAACTCTTTGTTTAGCTTAAACTTGATCCAAGCCTTACTGTATCAACCGATAGTTCTTGCTATAGGAAAGAACTTTTTATTAAAATTTGAATTCAAATTTTTAATTAGAATAGAAACAACTTTCAGAAATGCTGATTTTGTCGTGGGTTTTAAATATGTTTTATAAAAATTATATTCAAAACAGGACTTACCATTTTCTCTTATATAAATGTAAACATCTGAAAATAGAAAGAAACAAAAATATAATTATTATATTAAATTCGAAATCTTCATTATACAAAAAGCTTTTTATATATATATTAAATTCAATTAGCTTTAAAGCTTTCAAACTTTTTGCACTTTTAAAATCTCTAAGAAGCTCTAAATAATGCGTATAAAAGCCCTCAAACTTAAATTATTAAAAAAGGTTTTGCAAGCTTCTATACACTTTGCAAAAGAAAAAAGTTCTTGGTTTCCAATAAAAGTTCTCTTATATTTTTATTAAAAGTTAGCATAAGCTTTAAAAAATTATACAAAAAGCTTAAATATATTAAATTTAATTAGCTTTAAGATTTCAAACTTTTTGCATCTCTAAAAAGCTTTAAATAATGCGTATAAAAGCACTCAAACTAAAATTAGTCAACAAGGTCTGGCAAGCTTTTTACACTTTACAAATTTTTCCATAAAAGCTCTGTTAGGCTGAAAGAAATGAATTTATTAAAACATATCTGTATTAAAAAGCTTTTCAACTTATGAAACAAGTTCAATTCTTGTATTTCATTAGCTTTTAAGCTTCCAAGCCTACTATAGCATAAAATTCTTAAATACTTGAAAACTTAAAAGACATATAAAGAGCTTTCAGTAAAAAAAACCTGAAAGAAAATTATAGAGACCAAAATACAACAGAAAGCCAAGATCATCTTCCCTTTTTTTTGCATTCTTGACTCCAAATAAAAAAAATTCTGATATAATTTACGTTTTTTGTAAAACAACTATTTTCAAATTTCGTCTTTTTAAATGCGTTAAATTCTTGTTTTGGTTAAACAAATGGAAAAAACACTCAAACTTATAACAAAAAAAAATATAAATAAAATTCTCGTTTCGATAAAAAAGCAGAAAAAAACATATTATTTTTTTTTTCAAAAATAGCACTTTGCAAAAGAAAAAATAATAAAAACTAAATTTAAAAATTATAAAAACAAGCAAATTTTGTAAAAAAAAAATCAATATACACAATATCAGAAAAACAAAAAAAAAAAAAAACATAATTTTATACAATAAAATTTTAAAATGAAAACTGCATGAAAAAAAATTATAAGATTATAAATTATTAAAATAAACAACAAAAAACAAAAGAACAGTTAAAATAGAATATCTGTGATCTTAACGATATTTATATGAAAAAAATATAAAAAAATAAAAGAAAAAATATATAAAGATTTAATAAGTTTAATAAGCATATTAATTAATAAAAATAATTAAAGAAAACAAGTATATACTATGAATAATATTATTACAAAAAAAAATTAATTAATTATTTTTTGTATAATAATTTAGTTTTAAAATTAATATTATTACTTTTAATTTGTTAACATTAACTTTCTTTAAAAAAAACTATTTATGTTTTTTTTTTTTTCATTTTTGTTAATAAAAAATTTTAAATTTAAATTTGTGAAAACAAAAAATTATGTATGTAATTAAACAAAAACAAAATTGTAGTGAGACAAAAATAAAAAAAAAGTTAACACACTTTTATGGCATAATTAACAATGTATACTTAAAAAAATTATAACAAAATTTAAAATTATTTAACAAAAAAACAAGCACAATATTAAAAAAGCTTATATTTAGGATTTCTTTTTATTTTAAATAATTTCTATTATAATATTTTTGAAACTCGATTATGAAAACAATAAAAAAAACGAATATTATTTTAGAATATGCTTGAAAACAAATTTAAAAGTTAAAAAATCCGGCAACTTTGTCTAGTTTGTTAATATTTCTTAAAGCTTTAAGTTTAACAATTTTCTTTAAGTTAAAAGTGCGAGTTTGACGAGGCTGCTAGTAATGGAAGCAATGCCGTCAAGCAAAGCTTTAAGCTGTAAGTCAACAATTTCGTGAAATAGATAAACCAGTTAGTATAAAAGTAAAGCTTTAAACTGTAGTTCAACAATTTTGTTTAGCTTAAGAGAGTGAAGTTGATAAATCAATTGGAATGAAAGCAATTTTGTAAAGTAAAGCTTTAAGCTGTAGGTCAACAATTTTGTTTAAAATGAAAGATTGAAGTTGATTAACCATTTAGCAGTGGAAGCAATATTGACAGAGCTTTAAACTATAAGCTTAACAACTTAACCTTCAGTTAAAATAATGAAGTTATAAAACCCGTAAGCAATGTTGACAAAGTAAAGCTTTAAGCTGCAGTTTAACAACTTTGTTTAAGTGAGAGAACTTGACAAAAAAGAAAAGCTTTAAGCTGCAACTTACCAACTTTGTTTATGTTCAGACAGTGAACTTAACAAACTCTTAAGCAGCAATGGAAGCAATGTTGTCAGAGAAAAGCTTTAAGCAGCATTTTACCAACTTTGTTTAAGTTAAAAGAGTGAACTTGACAAACCCTTAAGCAGCAATGGAAGCAATATTGTCAGAGTTAAGAAAAGCTTTAAGCTATACTTTACCAACTTTGTTTAAGTTAAGAAAGTTAACTTGACAAACTCTTAAGCAGCAATGGAAGCAATGTTGTCAGAGTTAAGAAAAGCTTTAAGCTGTAGTTTACCAATTATGTTTAAGTTAAGAGAGTTAACTTGAGAAACCCTTAAGCAGCAATAGAAGCAATGTTGTCAGAGTTAAGAAAAGCTTTAAGCTGAAGTTTACCAACTTTGTTTAAGTTAAGAGAGAACTTGAGAAACCCTTAAGTAGCAATGGAAGCTGCAGAGTTAAGAAAAACTTTAAGCTTTAGTTTTCCCAATTTTGTTTAAGTTTCAAGACTAAAGTTGACAAATTCTTAGCAATTAAAGCAATGTTGTTAGAATCAATTAAAGCTTTAAGCTATATGTTAAACAACTTTGCTAGTACTAAGAGAGTGAACTTAAAAAAGCCATTTAAAGCTTAAAATGTAAGTTTTACAACTTTTCCTAAGTTAAAATGTCGAATTTTAAAGCATAAAGCTTTAAGTTTAACAATTTCTCTGAAATTAAGATTATTATTATTATTACAGATTTAAGCTGTAATAATAATACATTTTTTTATTTTTATTACAGCTTTAAGCTGTAATAATAACAATTTATTTTTATTAAGAAAGTTAAAAGAGTGCAGAAAAAGCTTTTTACAGCAACAGCAATGCTAGAGAGCGGCCAAAAAATTTTAAGCCTTAGTAGCCGTTGAATAAAAGCTTTTGCAAGCTTAATTGTTGTTTTTTTTACAGGCATATTCTTTTAAAATATCGTTTTTTTTTTTCTTATTAATATAAATATATTAAAAAATTAAACAAGAGAGTGTGAGCACTTTGGTATTTTTTTTTAATATTTGTTTTTTTTTAGTTTATTTAAGCTAAAACCAACAGTTTTATTTAGGTTTAAAAACTAGCGTTAACTAAACAAACTTTTTAAGCTTTAAAGAAAATTTTTCAAAATTTTTAAGCAAACATAAAATGTATACAAAAACCCCGATCTCAAAATTTTTTTCTTTATATTAAAAAACACCTCTTGAAATTTCAAAGTTTCTTAAGAAAAAGTTAAAAAACTTGTAACAAATTCCAGTTATAAAATTTTTGTTTATATTTTTTATATATTTTTTTTTTTTTTATTAAAAACTAAAACATAAATTGACTCGAAATTCAAAATTCTAAATTAAACAAAATTTAAAGAAAAAAACAAAAACAATATAAACCAAATTATAAAAAATTAAAAAAAAACAAAACTTTTTGGCTTATACAACCCTTTGGCTTATAAAAATTTGGCTGTGATAGTGTTAAAAACATAAAATTTAGTCTTAACTTTAAAAACAAACAAAACAAAAACCTTAAAAAAAAACAACACAAAAATTTAGACAAAATTTTTTAAAAATTATTTGTTAATTATAAAAAAAAAATAAAGGAAAAACAAGGTTAGGGCTCAGTATTAAATTGTGATGTTAAAATTTTTTCCAACTTAAAGAAAAATATTTGCAAACAATTTAGGCAAAACTAACTAAATTCTTTATAATAATAAAAAAAAAATTTAAAAATTATAATAATAATAAAAAACAAAATTGTGATTTTCGGCCTTTAAAGAACAAACAAAAAACATTTTTGGATATAAGTATAAAAAAAATAATAATATTAAAATAAATAATAATTAAAGCAAAAAAAAAAAAATTGATAATAAAAGTGAAAAAATTTTCAACACACAATCTAGTTATTTTAATTTTTTTCGTTATTTTTATTGGTTTTAGATTTGTATGTCTCAACACAAATAAGATCTCAAAATTAAACTGATCTTTTTTCCCACACTACGGTGTTTTTTTTTATTTTTTAAATAAAAATTTTATAACTGTTAACTGTACAAGTTTAGACAAGTTTAGTCTTCCTCTCTCAAGCATATTTCTTTAAGGATTATAATAACAACATTCCACTGCAAAATATTAGACGTGTTTTATAAGGTTTAATTAAAAAAACTTTAATTAAAATAATAATTATTATTATTTCCTTGGAAATATTTTAACAACTAAGAAATGTAAATTAAACCTAAATAAAACTGTTAATTTAATATTAATTATTAATTTTTTTTACTATACTTTGTCTTTATTCTTCTCTAAATTTTTCTCTCATTTATATATTTATATCAATTATTAATTTTTATTACTTACGCTTTAATTAAGTTAATTACAGTTTTTATAATTAAAAATTATTTGTAAATTTATGTGTTTTTTAAAGAAAAATATAAAATCAATTAATTATTTTTAAGTTCTAGTTTTTATTATTATTAATTAATTATTAAAAGAAAAGAAATATTTGTTTTATTTTTAATTTAAATGAAAACAAAAATAAAATAATTAAAATAAACCACCACCACCCTACTACACACAATGAATTTGTAATGTTATTAAAAAAAGTTAAAGAAAAATTTAAATTAAAGTAAAACCTCTAAAAAATTTTTTTTGTTAGTTTATGAACTGTTTAAATAGAAAAAGTTGAAAAAAAAAATTAATAAAAAAACTATTACAAAATTTTGGTTTGTTTCGCTTTTTATTTTTTTATATTTTTTTGGAATCATCATTATATTTTATTCATTAAAAACAAAACTTCATTAAAATTCATTGTGTCTCTCCATAAAAAAGACAAAAAATCAATAATGTAAAGCTTTAATTAAAAAAATATCGTTTACAATTAACTCGTAAATAATGTAGAGAAAAATAAAATTTCCTAAATTTCCCGCGATCCGCGTTCTCTCAAATTGTAAAACTTCGATGACATCTATCGTTCAAACATAAAACTTCATCGAAACACTTTGAAAACTCATCCCATCATCGATTACGACAAACATTACTCTTTTATTTATATAGATTTTTTTATAATTTAGTGACAAAATTCTTGATACATTCATAGCTGTATCTATACATCTTTAGCTTTGGGTATAGAATTGCTAAGTCCTCTAAAAATCATTTGCTATAACAACTTTAACTGCTTGTTAAAAAAGTTTAAATCAAAACTTTACAGCTTTTTATACCCACCATCAAAAAGATGGGGGTATATTGCTTTTGTTATTCCGTTTATAACACATCGAAATATTAGCCTAAGACGCATAAAAGTATATATATATTCTGGGTCCTTATTAGATTCTGAGACGATGTAGCCACGTCCTTCCGTCTGTCCGTCCATCCGTCTGTTGAAATCACTATAGGAACCACACGGGAGGAGCTAGACAGGTGAAATTTTACATAAATATTCTCTATATTGATAAGGTTTTTTTAGTATTGAAAATAGACAAAATCGGTCTACGTTTTCGCATAGACCCCCCTCCCCCCCCGGAAAACAGTTTTACCAGTCATAACTGTTTTATAAATATCAGTTTAGCGATGAAATAAGTCTTATGTAAACATAAATCTCTTAACCAAATTTTATGAGTATCGGTCCATAATTGACCCTATACCCCATATAAGATTCGTCAAGGTCGAATATAACACTCTTACTTGTTTTTTAGAGAGATTTTGTTGACT